ATATGATACAAAATAGCTTGTACTCCTCTAGGACGTTCTAAAAAATTATAGACTCTTGTTTGTAATCTTCTATAACGAGCGTCGCGGCGGTTGGCGCGATAGTTGAGAGGTTTACCCAACAAACTCATGCGAGGTTGTTGGAGTCTACTTTTCGTTTTTTCACTTTTTCGCTCCGAGGACCTGTTAAAACACACAACAAACAATTTATTTATAATAACAAACAAATTCTATTTATAATTACATATATATGTATTTATTATTGAGTGAATGAAATTTAAGAAGAACCCAAACGTACACAACAACAACAACAACAACAACAACAATAATAATAATAATAATAATAATAATATGAATATGAATAAATCATAACGATTGACTTACAATTTTTTTTTTTTTTCTTTCGAACTAGATTTTCAACAACCAGAAAATTTTTCCATTTTATTTTATATTATTTCGAAATCTCGAATCTTTTTCATATCCGTTTCCGGCAAAGTAAAAAAAAAAAAAAAAAAATTGTATTTCATTTTATTTTATTTTACTTTTCTTTTGTAAACATTGATATTTTGCAATATGGCGTCATTGAAATTTAAACCAATAAAATGTTTTTGTTGAAAGAAAGAAAAATTTTTCCCATTCAACTTGCGTATTTTATTTGATTTCATTCTTATTATTATTATTATTATTATTATTATTATTTTAATAAGTTATTTTTCTTACGCATTCACGCACGCACGCACGCATGGAAAAATAAATAAATGAAAATAATAATAATAATAATGTTAAAAATACATTTTACAAAATGTCGTCTTCCCATATATTAATGTAAATGTCGGTTTGCGGTTAATGAATAAATAAAATGGCCTCACGTAAATATATATATATGAATATACATTTGTCGGGCGCCATTTTATTTAATTATTAACGTCCGGTTTGAACGATATAAATACAAATATCGAATCGACACGCCGGAAGTGACGACACCAACAACTTTTATTTTGTTTATTTTTTATTTTCTTATATTATCATCTTAATCGTCATCGTCGTCGTCGTCGTCGTCATCACGACTATAATTATCATTATTATCAAAACGTTTACGGTTTTTTTTACTCCCCCCCTTTTAATTTCTTCCCCTCTTCCCTCCTCCTCCCCTCCCCAACACAATAATTATATAAATCCGTTGCCACACTTTTGAAATTACGACCGACGATTAGTTATCATAATCGAACCCATCTCGATCAGGTGACGTGACGTTGTCATTAATTAATAATAATAATAATAATAATAATAATAATAATA